TAGGTATATAGATTGTTTATTTACAACTCAATATCGAATTAATTAGATTGAACAACAATATTTTTATACCTAAAGGTAAAAACATTTGAATGCAAGTGCAATTGGTGTAGGTATAATGTATAAAAATAAATAACGTAATAAATATTGGTATATTGACCGTAAAAGTAAAGAGCATAATTGGTCCATGCCCAACAGACCGTTTCCGTTCAGAACCGTTTATCTTGTACAACAATGTAAAATAATGTATCATTTAATAATTGAATTCAAATTTAACACACCCATAAGAGTGACTAACTCTAAATAAAATTTACACAGTATCAACGTATAACCTACAATATACTTAATCCCATTGTCAACCTTTTAAATAATAATTTTTGTTTGTAGATTACTTTGCAAGTTTTATGATTTTTTTTTTCTAATTTAATTTAGTTTACTGTAGAATAATAACATTTTAGAATTGAAAAATTCTATTAATTATAGATATATGATTTTTGTAACGTGATACAGTATCTTTTCTCTATTATTATAAATGCTAAATTTTGTATTTGATATAAAATTATGGAGGTAAAAAATACAACTGAGAAATATATAAACATTTTATTATTAATTAATAATTATCAAATAAAATGATTATTTTATAGTTATCAGAACACTGCAGATGTTCATTGTGACTAACATCTGTGTACATTTTCAAAAAGTACTTTAATGGATTTGATTATAGTTTTATAAGAATGTGCAAAATGCAAAGTTTTTCATGTAAATCTTCATAATTAATCATAACTTAATCAGCTAAAAACTTCAAATAATTTAAATTTTATTCAAATAATTAAACTATATTTGATTTCATAAAAGCGTTGGAGATCTAAATAAGCTAAAGCATTAATTAAATTTTTATTTTTTTAAATTGTTCATTCGTATCTATATCCGTAATATCATAAATTCTTCAGAATATATTTATACGATATTTTTGGTCGGATGATAAATTTACAACAGAATCAAAAGCGCATTCTCCATATATTATATTCTTCTTTCTTTGGATAAGAAATTTGTCTTAAATAAAAATATTTATAAGAGACTGTTCGTTCAGTCATAGTTTTTATAAAAATAGAGACTCGTTGTTTTAATTTATAATTTTTTATTTCATACATAGTTTTTAATACTTTTGTTAAATGGCTTATTTTATTACATGCAGAAATATAATCTGATCCTTTAGTTTTTAAATATTTTAAAACTTGAATTGAAAAATTGGAGAAAAAGAAACGCTGTTATTAAAGTTTCATATTAAATCCAATTTAAAATTAGCACTCTTGAATTCTGATGCAGTATGAGCATCAGTATTATCAGCATAAGTAATTGTGTGTAAGACATCTAATACATAATAATAATTATTTCGAGAGAGTTCAGTTTCGTTTTAATCCGATCATGTATTAAATACACTTCGTAAAGCATTATACGCACTGTTCCATATTATGGCACCAATCTGTTTTTAATTTTCTTAATTTATGGGTACCAATTTCATTAAAAAAATATAGTATCTTTCCAAACATCGGTACGCTTATATTATTTGGTGAAAATAAAGTAGTTTATTACGGAGAATACATTTTGAGCACAAATGCAACATTTTACAGAATCTTGAAAGACAAGATTTAGAACACGAGCTTGGCAATGAGTAAATATAGAATTAGGAGCATCTACTTTTAATTGGTTTTGTAAGCCTTTGTACTTCCACTTAAGATGTACCGCTAAAACAATCAATTACAAATAATTTTTAATCTATTTTTTAATCACATTATTCCCTTTGAATTAATTTGTATTGTGACTCACCATAAGGGAAGTCTATAGCTTTTATGGTAAGGAAGAATTTCCAAAAAGTGCAAAAATATTAGCAGTATTGGGATAAAAAATTGATTACTGGGAGTCAAAATCATCAGCAAAAATTAATTTTAAAAAACTTAATTTTAAATACAATAGATGTAATGACGGTCGCAAATTTCTAGTGGAATGGTCAGACATATTAGTAGCTGCGCGTGTAAAATGTTTATGTAAAATGAACGGACTTCGAACAAATACTACTAGGCCAGTAGTTTATTTAGACGAAACCAAAGTTAAACAAACCATATTCGGGGACGTATTTAGCGAAATCAGGATAATACAGAGAGTTCAAAAGTATCTACAGGGAAAGGTAATCAATAATCATCTTATTATTTGTCACGTCAGGTCTCCTTCCTTTGACATTGCCAAAGATGAAAAATTAATTTTCCGTTGTAATTCTAGAAATACCACAGATTATAATTCACAAAAGAATGCTAAACGAAATTTTTGAAAAGTGGTATTTGCAAATGTTAATGAATTTGGAAGAGCACAGTATTATTGTAATGGACAGCGCGCGTCATTCATTCATTATCACTTAAGAACTACCTGAAATCAAATAGTAGGAAGTGGATGCGTTCAGTAATGGCTAAACGACAAAAATATACTTTTATTTCGTAAAAACTCTTAATGAGTTACAGGCGAAAGTCAAACTTGCAATGTCGCGTGGAAAAATATATAAATTAGATTGACTAGTACACCAAATAATTCATGAAGCTGTAAGGTTTTCCACCTTATTGCTGTCAGCATAATCTTATAGAACTTATTTAGTATAAGTTAAAGGGAGAATGATTGAAAAACATTCTACGTTTAAAATTGCTGATGTTGAGGTACTTGTAACTAAAGAAATGGACGCGGTAACTGCTGATGATTGGGTTAAATGTGGAAATTTAAGTGGCGAATGGGACTGAAGGACGAAATTGTTGAACCTCGAACCATTAATTTTAACTATTTATCCAGACGACAGCAGTTTGAGTGACGATGAGTAGATTTTTATGATTATTATTAAAATTCGAAAATATTGTAAATATTTTAAATGTTACTATTATTAATGTAAGTTGGATAATGTGATAATAAATTAATAACGAATGTGTAATACAGAAACATAACATTTTATATCTTTATGAATAATGATAAAGGCCTGTTTCATAGCCGCACATGAGAATGTACTTATGAATGAGCGCCTGTCGTTCAGCTGAACGAGTTGCTGTGATTTTGTGAAACGGGTCTGTGAAACGCATATAAGCGCGTTAAAAAAAATAAAAATTATTTTACGCGGGAAAGCATTATTCGAAACCTTAACGAAAAACGGTCACTAGGAGCGTGACGGTCACACATTTCTAGTTTCGTTGGCTGCACTATAGTATAGTAAACTACTAACTAGTAACAGTACGTTCAGCTGTTTGCTTGATTTAATTTCAAATTTTCACAAAGTTCTAAAACGACTAAAACTATTATTTGATTAATCTATTAGATATATGACAAGTTCTTTTATAATATGAATTATTTTGTGGTTATAACTAACTAGCTTGCTGATGATTAACTGGAACTTTGATTGGATATTTTAACATGTTTTTTTTACCAACTTGCTTATGATAAATTTCCAAGACCAGTATATTTAATTTGATGTACCTACCAGAAATACATTTTTGTAAGTAAAGAATTGTATTATTCATGTATATTATATTATACCAACATAATTTTAAATAATATTTTTAACAAATCAATATTATATTTTAATAAATAAATGAGTTCTGAACTTATATGTTCCTACTGTTCCTAGGTAGGTATAGGTTCTCAATTTTTTTTTGTAATTTTCAAGATTTAAATTTAAAATAAAATGTTAACATATTTATATTTGATTACACAAGGTGTTTTTGACTATTTACATACATTTTAAGATAATTTAACAGTACTATTATAATCATAAGTTAATACTTAATTATTCATAATTAACTATAATTCATGTAAAAATATGTCAATGTCATGAATAGGGTTTGAAATTCTCAAATTGTATAATTATATTGTCATGAAGTATGAACCACTATAAACTTTTACTTTAATTGACATGCCCAGAATTATAAATAATCAATTTCAAATTTGATGATACAGTTTAATTAAAATTTTTATTTTGTAGTTATGCAAAACATGAGTAAAGATATAGTATATGTATAGTCATAAAAAGTAGAACAAATTTTCTAATATTTCCAGACTCATAGTTAAAGTAAATTTTAAAAATGGTTTTAATGATATTTTTACTTGAATTTAGTACTAATTATTATTTATCAGTAAATATTAAATAGGCAACACCAATGACAGAAATAATTTATTATTTAACCTGATACAATGTAATACAATATAATTTTAAATACAAATATATTAAAGTATATCATATTATATGTTTTAATACTTCATAGTTAACTCAGAAATTGAATAATAATTTAAGTATAATAATTATTAATCACATACCTACTTGATGTATGTATATTTTTTTTTTAACTTTAATTTGCAGTCTGTTTGTATTATAAATTATAATTAACACATTTACATTTATTTTTAAGTTCTAATGAGTGATGTTGTACTTTATTTAATTTTATAAAAAAAATGTATAAACTACAATAAATTAACATTAGCACAATTTTCAATTTTCTTTATTATTGGCAATATGCAGTTAGTTCAATTAGATTTTTTCCACATCTTTGAATTTAACTTGAGATTACCTAAAAAAAAAAAAAAAACGTGTATGTGATAGTAAATTTTACTATAACATATTTAAATTCCTAATTTAATTTATTATTACATAATATTTTGAAGACTGTGTATCTTCAAAGGTAAATTAATATGGAATTAATATGTAAATTTAAGTAATAAAGCATAAAAAAATTGTAACAATTGAATAGGAAATTTTATAGGTTTGTACTGTTTATAGTAGTTCTGTATAGTGTTACAGTGCCACTTGATTGTAAAATAATCCATGTATTATCAGTATAAATAATATTCAGTATCAGTAATCCATTATTTAATTAGTAGGTATACATTTAAATAAAAATTGTATATGTTTAATTGTATAAATAATTAACCTGAAATTTAGATTTTTAAAACTAAACGACATATTGTACCATTTATTTTAGTTTTTGAAATCGCCAAAAACTTGTACAAATGCACTTGCCAAATATCCAATTTACGTGCGATTACCATTTTGGGTAAGTACTTATTTATTTGATCAAATTATTAAATAAAATATATAGAATATAATATGTGCCATGTGGTAAATAAGACAATAATAGAATATAAAGAAGTAATATTATAAAATATGTTTATCATTAAAAGTTAAACACTTAAAATTGAGAAATATTAAAACATAAATACTTCATCTACGACGTACCGCGAGTCAATTTGTGTTATGTACTTTGTACTTAATTGTTTTGTTGATTTGTTATTTTAATCATTTAACACTAATTATAATCTTACCGTTTATAATAAACTCAATGTATTGTCATGTGATTCCCAGTAACTTAGTATTAGCTATTAAGTATACTTCCATATCATATAATCATGATATCACCTCAGAACATTTTAAGATAGTATGACCTTTAACCGTGCACAAAACATGTAGATATTATATTCACTACACATCTATAATATGATATAGATATCTGTATTCTGTGTCAGGACAATACAATTTTATTATACAAATCGAAATTATAGTACTTAATTTTACCTGATCATAAATTTATAAATCAGCTCAAACATGCATCACCACATTTTTTTTCCGTGGGTGTGTAGGTAGTAGGTATTAATCAGGGTCATGTGGATTATACGCGAGTATGCGACATGTTTCAGTAATGGCTCGCTTGGCAATTACTTATAAGATTATAACATTATGACAATAGTTTATTGTAGCGAGTAAGTAGGTACAATGAATGTCACTATGATACCTTTGAGTCAAATTATATGAAATTTATTACTTATAACTTTTGGTTTTTATAATTTATAAGTATTATTATGATTAGGACTCAGAAGTTGTAGGGGTTAAAAAGGCAAAATATGCACGAACAATTACAAAATATACATTAAAAATGATGTTAAATGTGTAAAAAAATTATTCTGAATTTCAAAAAAAAAAAAAAAAACCATCAGATGTTGTTAGTAAATTAATAAAATAATAATATACATAAAAATTGTTTATAACTGGTTGGAATTTTGACAACCTTATTGAGCTGAAAATATAATTAAAAAAAAAAAAAAAATCAGTAGTTTTGAAATTACGATAAATACCTTTGTTGAAAATTTTGAGTTTTGTATTCAATATTAATTGAAATATACAGGTTAAGAAAAAAAAAATAATTTGAAAAAAAATATGAAATATGCACTTTTTTCAGTTAAAATTGACAAAATATGCAAAATATATATTTTCAATTTTTTAACTCTCCATTGTACAGTTTAGATTTCTAGCTTGGTCTGATATAAACTGAGAGCATACAGAACAATATGCAATTCTTACAACTTTTGAACTATAATTTATGACTAATGCTGTAAAAATCTTCAGTGAGACGAACTGCTCGACACTGGTGGTAAAAGTGCATTTTAAAATACGTTTAAAGGCACAATTTAAGCTTACTGTACCTACTTATTAATTGATTTGAAAAGTGTGACATATTTTTGCCCTGTGTTTAAAATCATAATTCCTGAGGTATTTATGGAATAGATATAACGCATTTATACACAATACCTCTCGGAATCAACCAATTTTGAAGAGCTAATTATCGTAAATAGATTAACGATAAATAAAAATTTAAACACAATTATTAAAAAAAAAAAAAAAACTATTAATTTATGAAATTTTTTATATTGGATGCCGTTTGAAAATCAAAATTTGTAGTGGTTTGTCTAAATAAATATAATAAGGTGAAAATATTAAAAATGTATATAGTCTTAGAATGGTGTAGATCGAAGATTTTGTAAAAGTCTATACTTAAAAAATAAATAAATTTAGTGTTGTTTTATAAATGAATCACTCTGTATATTATTTAATATAAAGTAATGTACATAATGAATTCATCTAGTATGTTAAAATGTAGATTAAATAGATTTAGTCATGCAAGTTGCTAAAATTCTGATGTACTATATGTTATTGTATTTTGATAAACGTATGGCGTCCTTTTAATTTACTTTGCCACCCATAAACTCTTCTCTAAATATGAATCAAAGAAGTTTTTTATAGTCTCTTCATTTCTAAATGCCTCATTTAGTAGTTTAGTTCCCTATCATCTCTGCATTCTGTTTGTGAGCTTCACTTGTAAGTTATACAGGGTTTACAAAGTTTTATTTGTGTTTAACTATCGAGTGATTTAAACCACTGGTTTGTTGAGTACTGTTGTTATAGGGTTACACGGTACCAGCAGTCGTTGATCCAATTTGTATATGTTCAAAAATTATTCGTAATAAGTTGCAAACGTGTTTTCCGGTCGAATAGGTATACATACGACGAAGCGTTCATTAGTTTAACGCCCTTAACATTATATAAATACACTGTTATGTTATTTTGGTAAGAGAAATACGTGAATGGCGTTAACTCAATTTATGTGGCAGGGTAATAGTTTCTAGACAATCGTCATGTGAATCAATAATATTCACAATATTTGAATGATATTATTAAAATTTAAACTTAATCCAAATATTTGTTTAACATTTTTTTTATTTATATTAAAGTTCGTGAAATATAAATTTGTTGACTTGGATACTGTAATATAAGTTAACTATATAATGTAAAAGTATTGTATGTGCTTTTAAAAAAACTAATAACCTACAGGGACAAGTTCCCAATTGTCTCCTTTAATCTGGTTTTATTTATATTTTATACTAATCTAATTAACAAAGAAATAATTTTTCTGAAAATAAAGTTTAATTATTAGTCAATATTTACGAAGTTTGGTCGAGATAATAATTTTCTAGCTTTTTTAAATATTAACTTTAATCCTCATCTAAATTCGAATTAATATCTTAAAAAAATTAAAAAATATATTTGGGATAAAAATAAATGTATAAAAAAAGTGGAAAAGTAGTTCTTACATTTTGTGAAAAAGTTACGTGACGTGATGTAGTTATCCATACGCATACAACCATACGACTTGTTTTAATGACCCTTCGTACAATCATATTATTAAACCGTTTAAAATCATTTAAATAAAAAAACAGTTTTTTTAATAAGTATTTATAATCATACTCATAAATTTATATTAAATCGATAATCGTTTACAAAAATGGTAAATGCAAAATCTATGGTTATAGAAAGTGTTAACTCGTGTGATTGCTGTCCATTGAAATCTCCCTTTCCCAAATACATTACTGATCACTGTGAATAATATTTACACAGGATAGTGTTTTTAATTCATTTAACCATTGTTTTGATTTAAATTATGAATTTTAGAACGTTAATGAATAATAATACATTATTTTTGAAATTTTTAATTTTAGAAAAGTTCTAGTACAAATATACAATAAAAATAGTAGAAAAATAGTTAAAATATTTTTAAATTAGCGATCATGTGAATACTATTTTTAGGTTTTATTTTGGTTTAACAAATTAATAATTTTATGTATGCCAAAGGTTTTCAAACTGTTTAACACAAACCCCTAGGGAAGGTAGGTACGTTAAATGTAAAGTTTTGATACGCAATGAAGTTAGTGGTAGTTACGTGACTAGTCTGCAATTAAGACGCATAACGCGTTCAATAATATGTGGTCCGTGAAAAATATTGTTTGTTAATTTTTTTAAGTACACACTACATTTTGATAATAATAATATTTATTTATTTATTGCAACAACAACTACAACAATATACACGTATTTAAATAAGTAGTATCATAAAAATAGATAAATTGCAAGCTCAACTAATAAGCAAAGAATGCTTGTGATAGGTTAAGTTGAGTTCTTGATAAATAAATTATGAAAAAAAACAAAACTAACAAAATAATAAAATACTAAAATATTAAATACAATATAAAAAATTAAATATAAGATAAGTATAAATTAAAAAGAATTAAAAAGGCTAATATAAGTATAATACTTGCATTTGTTAAAATTAACGAAATTATTTCAATTAATATTATATTTTTACTATAAGTAAAGAAATTCTTTTATTTCATTTCCTTTTATTTACTTTAGTTATAAAACTGAGCGTCTTGAAATAAGATTTATTAAACGGTGCAATTAAATTACAATTATTTTTAGTTTTTGTATTATATAATGAGTAGACTGAAATTTCCTCCTATTAACTTTATACATATATTATAAAATAAGTCTGAAGGTTCATAAGTTTGAGTAATTGATAATATTAGAAATCTTAAACTCAAAATAAATTAAGTTAGAAGAATATAATCTAGGTTTATCAGGAATAATTTTAATTAAGAAATTTATAGCTTTAGACAAAACATTAATGTGGGACAAGTATGTGGAGCCCCATATCGAGAGATCTTAAGAAAAAAACTGATTCTGCAAGAAATAAATATTTCTAATAGTTTTAGAATCTAGAAATTTTCGAGTAAACAGTACTTAAAAAATACTTTTTTAATACGATCATTTGCATAGTAAATATGTTCAATAGATTTTAGCTTGTAGTCATTATGTATATTAAAATACTTAACGCAATCAACTTTTTCCGAAGGTACCTACATACACATAAAAATAATTTAGATGTAATTACAATTAAAAGTGTGTACACATAATAAAAAGTCAAGACTTATACTATGATATGAAGTATTCGTAATATTAAAAACAATATGCTTAGATTTGGCTAAATTTAACTGTAAATTATTATTATCGCACCAATTTTTTTCTAACGTTGAACAAAAATTTGCTTCCTTGTATAAATCATCATAATTTAAACTTTTAAGTAGAATAATAGTATCATTAGCATAATATATTTAGTATCTGCATTTAGGTTTAAATTTAAAAGTCTGTTGATGTAAATTATAAATAAAACTGCGCCAATTACTGTACCTCGAGAGAGATACAGAATAACAGTTTTTTGTATCATCAATCAGAGCACCATTAAGTCTTACCTGTTGAAGTGTATCAGTAATAAAAAGTAATAAATAATTTAAATCAATGAAGAGCAATTCTCTTAATATCGCAAAAATAAAATTTATTAAATAGTAAATCATGGTTTACAGAGTCGATCTAAAATAATATCTTAGACTA